TTCAATGTATTGTTAGTAGTAGGCTTACTAATACAAAGTCAAACCGTATCAATTTCATTAAGAACTAATGGTAACATTTTATTTTTATCATTCATCAAAGATAGCAAAAAACATGCATTATGTACTATGGAGGGGACTCTGACAGAGAATTACTCACAAAGTACACAGTAAAGTACTTCCTTTTATTTCTGGTAGCAGTCAACTAGTACCGAGTCCAACAGTATCAGTTTTATTCAGAACGTATGGTGAAAAATATTTGTATCACTCATTGAATATAGCAGGAAAGAAAATGAAGAGCAGCTGATTGACCGAGTGCAGCATCGCTGTATAGTTTAAATCTCCTTAGTTACAATGTTGTCCATTTTAGACAAAGGCTTATTATATTAGCCCTAAGAACATTCATTTTCTGGGCTCAATATGTGTCTTGGCTGTTTTCGTTGTGATCGCTAAATTCAGATCGCTGGATCGCTAGAAACACCGCTGTCATCAGACTGGCAAGGGCTGTTCCATGCTCTGCTCAACCTCCCGCCTTCCCAATGGACTCAGTAGCGCCCCCTGCTGCCGTGGAGCATGTGTGAGTGAGCATGTGTGAGTGTGTATGAGCACAACCACGGCGGAATATTACTGCCAAAAGTCACGTGAGTGAGTCACGTGACTTTTGGCAGTAATATTCCGCCGTGAGAAGAAAAAGTTTTGTACTTGTAGAAAAAAGTGTTGTAGTTGTAAAAAAAATGTGTGTACTTGTAAAACCTATGCTGAATTTGTCTATGAAACATGATTTATTAGAAAAATGGTATGTGTTTATTTGATAGATACGTTTTTTCTTTGCAAAACTAAATGCATTAGTTTGTATATGGTGTTTTGTATTTGCAAACCACATTGTGTTTGTTAGTGAATCATGAGGCATTTGTAAAACCTGTTTAGTTTGTTTGTGGAGTTATGGCAGGAAATTAGCTCCATAGTCCTCCTTCAGTCTGCTCCAGGTTTAGCTTCACTGCTCGGTTATCCTCAAAGAAGTCCACTCATCCTCTCTGTCCCTCAAAAAGGCCTCACACACTTTACTTGAGGAAGTTTCCCAGAAAACTCAGAAAAAATCCCCACTTGAGGATTCACAGTGGAGATTTTAGCATTGACATGCTAGCCAGACCCATAATGCATCTGTTGGGTGTGTTTGATTTGGGTCACCAGCCCTCGCCAGGTGGGGCAACCTTTTTTTTTTTTTTTAACTATGCCAAGGTTAAAAAAGGCGAACCATAATATCAATAAGCTACAGTACGACAATAATAGGTCTAATACTTAATTGCATTGCATTGTTGTAATTTTTTCAATCTGCTTTATCAGGATTTTCTTTTACTATATTTCTTTTTTTACTCAAAGTATAGGCTGAAGGCTCATGTAGAAATCTAACCTATTGGCTGTTCTTACTCTTTCAATCTAGTGTTTGAGTTCCAGATATATTTAATAAGATAGCACTCGGCTCACCATGGCAGCTGGTATGATTTTAATGTTAACTGTATTCTCCAGTACAAGAAGACATTTAAAAACCCTGACTGATATAAAGTTGTTACTTCCAACCCTGAAAATGAGCTCAGTTTTACTCTCACAGAGTGTCAAGGAAGGTGTTATCTTACTTAGACATAGATTACATTACATCAGGATACATGATGTCAAAGTGTCAATGTAATACAAACACAGGGATATGTGATAGTAGCGCTATAATCTCATTTGCTAAAACAAAGCCTGGCCCCAGCATCCATAATGCATCAAGTGCAATCAACCCCAGAGGAAGAGGACATGAATACAAAAACGAATGTGTCCTCTTACACCACGGAAGTGCTTTCTGTGTCCAGGACTTTGGGTTATCATCAACATTATCTTCTTTATATTTATTTTTGGATAAAGTTATAAGTTAAAGTTAAAAGTGAATGTGTCTGAATAAATGTTTTGATGAGGGACAGGACAATCAACAAACTTTCATTCATGGTTACTCATCATTAAGATGGGAAACAAAATTATTATACATTAAAAAAAACTGACCTCAATAAACACATTTATTTCATAACCTTTGACTCCCTTATTGCATTGTTTCTTAATGACATTAGAAGTATAATATAGAAGTCAGAGGTCAGGATGAGCTATTAAGGGCCTTTTCTCCCAAACAATGCTTCTGCATAGCTGTGATAGAGGCTTAAATCCCTCCACAGAAGGGCAGCGTCTGTTATCACAACACCACCCTGCTGCTCCAACTCAAGGGAATGGCCATAATGTGTCTGAGGACTGTTGGCAACCAGTGAAATGATTATGTTTAGGTCTTCCTGTTGTTCGCTCTATTTGCAGGGTGAAAGGTCTGAAGAGCAGAATTTACACCACGCTCTGATTAATGGTGAGTTATAAGCTCAATAAGGTGGGTTGCTGGGGATTTACCCAAGAGAGATTCATCCATTATAATGATCTGTGTTGAGAAACAAAAGGAATGTGATGGAGAGGAATAGAGTTAAACAGACGCGGTTGCAGATTAAATGTGCCTCACTTCCCCACACTGTGCAAAATATTCCTGTATGAGAGTTTATGATTAATGTACCCGGTCTGTTCCCAGTCTGCTTCCTGTGTCATATATTACAAATGGACTATAAGAGATCACATATATATCTATAAAGCATCATAAAATATGATGCTGCCAGCAGAGGAAAGTCCTTCCCTCTATATTCATAAACCATTGTTTGCTAGCTGCTTTGATTAAACCGGCTATTATTTGCAAATGGAGATCGCACATAAATGACCATTTTATGTAATGTTCCATAATATATCACAAGAACAGTAGATAAAAGCTTGGGGCATGTGTGTGTCCTACCAGAGTAAAATGGTAAACATAAGTTAATGATTAGCCAATTAATAAAGCATTGTAATTTATTTAGTGAAGTTAAATGTATTGAATTGTTTTACAAAGCACATTTTCCAGGTGTTGTATACAACAAATTGACAAATACAGTACAAGACAAGTACAAGGAGCGAAATATCCAAACACTGGTTAGAAAAAGAGAAGAAATAAGTATTAAAGTATTGAGTATTGAGTATTAAAAAGTGTATTATTTGAAAAACCCTTCAGATAAATATATTATATTTTCTCCCAACTATCTCAGTGAGGATGTTGTTCACTTCATTATTAATTTAATTGTAGCTGTAGTTTTCATTTGTTGGGATACTAACCCAAATGTGCCACTTTTTATCATTCAATCTTGCACAAGCTAAGTTTGTGCTAAACAACACAAAAAAAATGTTTTGCTCGTTTTTTTCTGTTTTTTTGTTTGTTTGTTAGTTGTCATCAGCATGATTTATTGCCTATAAACAGCTTGCACTTGCATATTATGTTGGTTCTTATATATTTTTGAAACACTGCCATGATGGAAAAAATGAATATGGTATAATACTGAATTCATTTTTGCTCACAGCCTTTAGAAGATGTGCCGCCGTATAACAACTATTCTAAGTATCTGATCTTCATGTTCAAGCAGTTTTATGTTCTTGTAATTTGTCAGTGCTTTACAAACCCTCTGTATACTATATAGTAAAGGGCATAGTGTGTGTTTACCTGCTTCCTTACCACTGTTAAGGTCCTGCGGAGCAGTGGAGGCCAAAAACAGTTCTGTGACCCAATTTTCCTCACTTTGGTTCCCTTGTGGAATAGGAACTGAAATGCTAAAGCTCACTATTAACAGCATGGGCAAGAGATTTTTAGCAGACCAGTCTGAGAGAGAGCGAGAGAGAGGGAGAAATGAAAAAGAGGGAGCCTGGAGATTCAGGTTCCTCCTCTCATTCCCGAAATAGCAGGAGTTTGATTGCTGATAGGGCTTTTGGCCAGGCTGCTGATAAGCCATGAAGTCTGCTCTTTAACTGAGTGTGAGGCTATCCAACATAATAGGACAAAATAATGGAAATGCCAGCACAAAGATAGGTATAGGGACGGGGATAGTGGGCTGTAATGGTGCGGGGTGCTTGGTCTGGTGTGACTTCGGGCCACCGACACCTTCGTGGATGTGGTCAGTGCATTCAACTGCTTACACTGATTTTGATTGATCATCTCTGACTGCGGCATAAGGATAGTGGGGGGAAATGCCATATCAGCCACTCCAAAATATCCTGGGGCAAGTTTATATCTGATTATGGAGCAGGTAGGCATATTACGAAGGCTTTTACGTTATTGTTTTTGAAAACTGGTATCCCACCAATATGAAAAGAACTCAGATGCAAAAAAAAGCATCCTTATCTAACATTTCAACCTCATGCTCAAAATGTGTTAGTTTGTAATGGGTTAATGTAATCCTGGAATATGCAAATGCATCCATTTGAAATGCATTATTGCATGAAGGTGAGCACTCCATTTTCTATTGAGGTGATATTTACTTGTGTGTTCCCTTCTCTGTTAATCCTCCCAAAATGTCACAAATCCACAATGTGGTTGATTGGAGTTATAATGACTAAGATGTAATGACTAGGAATTAGGCAGTGTGCTGCATTTGTTTTAGTAACTTTCATCTCCTTTTCAAGCTGAGAACACACAAACAAACATTCCTAACCCCCCATGAAAATACATCAAACATTTAGGGAATGACTTTCACACTGTTGAGTAACAGACGTCACTGTTAGAGTTACGATGCTGCTCTGACTACAGGGTGCACTTAGATTACAAAGATTACAGTCAAATAAATCAAACATGTTGGATAAGATGGTGACGCTGACTGACTGATCTGAGGCTCAGTGGAGAGGAAAGATAATGAATCATTGACTGCAAATAAAGATAAGGTCACATGTATGACCAACAATATCTTTATAGACTGCATTTGCCACATTTAATCATCAACATCATGTTGGACATTTTGGAGTTATGCTATGAGAATATCCTGTGCTAGTAACCCAATACAAATTAAATAGAGCACAACTTTCACACTGCGATTTATAGACACAATAAAAGAAGAAGAATTGAAAATGAATAAGGTGTTTTATTTTATTCATATATCAAAACGGTGGATACATCTTTAGATCAAATTACAATGGCAATAACCTGAGAATGGGATTATTAATAATAGTAAAAAACAGTGACATTGTCATTTATTTAACTGTTCTCCTTAAAGTCTTATCTCCATCTCATCTCCTCTCAAAGTGTGTGCACCCAAAGTCTTTAAATGCTATGAAAAGTGTGTAACTTATTTACTCACCAATTCATCAACCTTTCAAAGCAGGAGTGCATTTTGCCATTGTTGGGTGCATTAAACTTTAATCATTGTTCGAATTTGCTTTAAATGCTTCTTTTGATTTATGCTCATCCCTCATTCTGCCTGTAGTTCTTATTCTCTTTCTTCATCTTAAAGTCTTTATCGCACAGTATTTTTTCTCCAGCTACATCATATTTGGACATAAAGGGTTTTATTCTCTCTGGTGACTAGAGAGTGGAGATAGCAACAGGACAGCCTTCCCAGTAGAATAAATAAAAAGCGAAATCTTTGCATGATTTTAATTAAACTGATAACACTGACGTAGAACACAGTTTTATCAGGAAGAAGGGGCGCAGATGCAAAATAATGTAAAAACAAAAAAGTGATAATGTATTTGTCTTATCGCAACCCATGTTCACTGCACACAGTAATTGTATTTTATGATTTTGTGCCCGCTGCACAATTCATAATTCCCCTTCCAATGATGGCTTATATTTCCTATAGTGCTCCGAAACACCCCACCAAGAACACTTTGGATTAGCGAAATATTGCCGCGGAGAAAATTGTGACAAAACCCATAGCACATCCGGTATGCACTCGCTCACAGCTACACACTCATTCACTGACTAACTCATTCTCTCTATGCCAGACATGAGTATCAGCCAAACAGTGCTATTTGCTGGAGCAGGACTGGCACTTCTCCAGACCATGGGGGTAGCAGGCTTGGCAACGCAGATCACTGATGGACTCATTGAAGCGGTTCGCCAGCATGGACAGCTTGCTGCCATGACACAGAGAGCAGGGAGTGCAGCCCGAACCGCCACAATGCTGGCAGCTGTCCGCCTCCTGGAGACAGAAGAAACACATTAGTGGGGTGAGGAAGAGGAGAAAGAGAGCATCTGTAAGGTTATTCAAAGGGTAACAAAAAATTGAGGAAAAGGTTGGAACAGGTGAGAAAACAAGCGACATATGGAAAGAGATTGAACTGACCACCAAGGTTGGAAGAACAGTTTTTCAACCTAATTAAAAACATCTGCAATTTCTGAATATAATGTATTTAAACTAGTGCAAAAATAAAAACTGTTGTCGAGAAAATCCAACAAGCAGATTGACAGAGGATCCTTTCATGCCAGTTAGATGAAGTGTGAAATGCATACATAATCTACAATAAGCCAGTTTTGTATTAAATATATTTACTTCATTTTACACTGCAACTGTTACAGAGCTGCTTAACTTGCATCAGAGCTCAACTGGCCCGCCTGCTGGCAGACACAAAACAACCTTTACGACAACCAATGGTCCAATGGTTCCAATATTATTTATAATAAAACACCATTGGTAAGTAGCTGTGTTGCGGGATGATGTTTGACCAGCCGGTCATTTACACAGCCAGCTGGTCCTTACAACGAAATTTGCAAGACCGTGCGGCTGCCTGTAGATTATCGATTACAGGAAGGCAGGATACTTACACAAGATGTAAGTCTTTGTAAACAATACTTAATGTCTTGAATCAGTAGTACAACTGATTTCAGTGAAAACTTTGAACAACTAGGACCGTGAAAAGTGCTTCAAACAGAATGGCAGAATTCACCTCTTGAAGATAGACTGCTTAGCATACAATGCTAGAGTGCTTCAGCAAAAGATGCTCTATGAATGAAGAATTGTTAATAGGATTTTCTGTACCAATGTTTTAAATCTCAAATAGTAAAAGTGGCTGAAAGTAAGCCAGATGTAATTCAGTCTGGATAGTCTTTTTGTTAAGTGTAGGCTACTTGTTACACTTTGAGTCAGATTACATGTTACCTTGGTACCAACCTGCAATAAATGAACAGGTTATGGGGCTAAAATGGATCCAAAAATCTACTTTATGCACAAAGGCTTTTTCCATTAGCGAAAGTTGACGTTTTGACATTCATAATACCTCTAACCCTACATCAATTTAAGATGCACGTATGGTTTAATGATGAAACAACATGCAAAATGAAAGAGAGAATGTATAACTCTACATCTGTGTTAGATATAAAGAAACAAAGATATCAAAATATGAATACCTTGCGTGTGGGTAACAAAAGCAAAGATGATAAAGAAAATAATCTAGCAGAGAGAAGTGAGATTGCCAAATAATGAAAGAAAAAAATGAGAACAAACTTCTTTTTTCCAGAGGCAGAAAAAGACAAGAAGATGAGAAAATAACGAGAGGGGTGAGAAAAGAATGGAGGTAGTGAGGGGAAGAGAACAGTAATCAGCCGAGGAGGTGAGAGGGGGGAGATAATAGCGAGCTGGGTATCCTTGTGGGCTGGCAAGTGGCAGGCAAATGCTGCAAGGGCAGAGTAAAACTGTGGACTCATCAGTATGTGTTCACAGTTGACAGATAACACTAGGACAATGGGAGGGGGGGGGGGGTTGTTGCAGCAGGAGGGGGGCAACAAGGAAAGAGAAGGGGTACAAATAAGGTGGCGGTTACAAGGAAACACCGAGGAGATGAAAATGAACACCCCTCTGTTTACAAATTACAACAATATGGCTGCAGACAATTCTGCAGTTACACTCTCGAAAGACAAAGTGAAGACAGGAGGGTTGAAGACATATGCTGAGATACAGAGAGGGGGGGGGGGGCATGATGAGACTGATAATAGCAAGAAACAGAAGCAGGGTGATAGGAACCACACCACTGAGAATAATTTGGCCATGCATCATTACCTTGGTCTCTGTGTCACTGATCGGTTTCTCCTCCTTCTCCTCACCCCCCGCTGCACACAGAGCTTTAGCCCTCCTCCTGCTCCCCCTCTCTCTGGCCTTTGGGTATCCCTCCAAGTCCAAAGGAGGCCCTGTGTGGTGCCGTGACACTTCAGGCTTCCTCGGAGGCGCTCTGATGATGCGCAGATTGCTGGTGTAGATGATTATTTTGCCAAAATCCAACACTGAGGACTGAAGGAAACAGAACGTGTCAGAGTATTCTACATCTTTTAATTACAACAACAGCTGGTGCATCTATGATTAGGTAATTGAGATGCTTGTGTTTGATATTTACAACAATTCCCACATTCTATTCCTACGACTAACAGAGCTTACGTGCATTCAGCTGTGGGCTTTCTGTGTGGGTGAGAACAGGTTTTCTAGTTGAATGTATCTGAAGAGACATACCCTGTGTGCAATACACAACATGCTTTGAAGTGGTTTGTAGGCAATTGGAAATACTACAATACCATCTCTTATGACAAAGCTTTCCCCATTTGTGATTGCCTGGAGTCTGAAGAGAAATCCATTCTTTTTGATAGTCTATACAGCATTTTAATTTGCACTAAACTCAAACCTTAAAATAAACATGTGGTTGTCCGTGGGAATGAACCATGTTTGTACAGGGATGAAACATACAGTATATCACTGGTAGCTTAAAATAACCTTAAGTATACTTAAAAAGACATAGAAGTACTACAACAATGAATCACAAAAGTTACATTGTTCATGGGGAGCACAAACCGGGAAAAATGTGTTTTTACTAAAGGAACCAGCCTCCTACCATTTATCAAACTTCAATAAAATAACTAATTTGGACTAATTTGACCAGTAGTGTTTTTAAACTTTTTGATGTGACCTGCACATTTAAAACATTGTGAAATGAAGTCAGATAAAAAAAGTGTTTTGTTTCAGTGCATCTCCCTCATTATAACACAGACAGAGGAAAGATATGGGGGAGGAACTCATTAGACCTGCTGACAGTGTCACAGTCTGCTTTCTCACTCACCTAGTTTCTGCATTAACATTCCTTAGTCACCTGGTAGCCACACCCTGTCTCTCTCTCACTCTGTTACACCCATCAGCTCCAGTAGTATATAGGCCCACTTCACTCTCACCTCAGTGCCAGATCGTACTTTGCAGCATGCCAGTCTTTCCAGCATTACTTCCCAGATTGCTCTCCCGGTTCCGACCCTGCCTGTCCCTGACCTGCCTGCCTCGCCTGATTCCTGACCCTGCCTGTACCTGCGACTCCCGTCTTGCCTTCTCCTGGAACCCTCGCCTGTCCCCGACCAGCCCTTTGCCTACTACCTGCCTTTTCGTCTCCTACCAGTTATTGCCTTCAATAAAGCTGGTTACTGACTATCCCTGGTTTCCCCGTGTTCTGCATTTTGGTCCTCAGCTCGTTTGTGACAGAACGATCTGGCCAGAAATGGACCAAGCAAACACCGGGTCTCCTAGAGACCGCTTTGAGAGGGTTGAGGAAGCCATCCAAAGACAGGAGGTCACGATAGCTACCTTAGCTACCGAGACCCACCAGGCAACCTCAACCCAGGAACAAGCGCTGGCTTACCTGGCCTCCCAGATGCAACAGATGGCCGCCACCGTACAACAGCTAGCCGCTAGCATGGCTGCTACCGTCCCTCCGCCTGCAGCTCCGATGTTCACTCCAGCCTCTGGACCGACTGGATAAGCTCCGGAGCCTCGTGTGGGAACTCCGGAATGCCACGCTGGGGAGCCTGAGGGATGCAGTCCTTTTCTCACAAACTGTTCCATATTGTTTTCACTGCAGCCACACACCTTTGCCTCCGAGGCGGCTCGCGTAGCTTTCACCGTTAATCATTTGACGGGGAAAGCCCGTTTATGGGGTACTGCAGAGTGGGAGCAGCAGACTCCAGCCTGCGCCTCTTTTGCTGCTTTTTCCACGGAGATGCGGAAGGTGTTCGGTTCCGTTCGTCTGGGTCTCAATGCTGCCGGAGGTCTGCTGAGCTTGAGCCAGGGTTCCGGCACGGTGGTGAATTACGCTATTGACTTCCGCACCAGCAGCCGCCGCAGTAGCTGGAACGAGCCGGCGCAATGTGACGCATATCTGAGAGGATTAGCGGATTATATGAGAGATGAGCTGGTTTCCTATGATCTCCCTGCTTCCATGGATGGGTTGATCGAGCTCACCTCTCGGATTGACAGACGAATTCAGACTCGGAGAGAAGAGCAACAGGCGCGAGTGGCGGGCCGCCGCTCGCGACAACAACTTCCGGTTTCCGGGAGATTTCAACTTCCGGTTTCGGCGGAGAATTCCCATCCCTACTCTGACTCACGGTACGGGGAGGTCGAGCCCATGCAAGTGGGTCTTACCAGTCTTAGCTCTGAGGAGAGGGAGTTACGTCGAAGAGGTAATTTATGCCTTTACTGTGGTCAGGCTGGACATTTTGTTTCCCGTTGTCCGGGAAAAGGCAGAGCCCATCAGTAATGGGGAGTATACTGGTGGGCCGAACCTCTGAGCTGATCCCCAATGGAAGACCTCTGTGCCATGCTCGACTTCTCCTGACAGGCACATCTCAGGCTCTGGCTGTGTTTATCGACTCCGGATCAGATGTCAGCATCATTGATGAGGAGCTCGCACTACAGCTGGGCATTCAACAGATTCAGTTGCCCCAGCCGGTACCGGCTAATGTTTTGGACGGTCACCTGCTGGGAACGGTGACTCACCAGACGACACCGGTCCATATGCTCATGTCGGGGAACCACCATGAGACAATCCAGTTTCATGTGCTACGGTCCCCCAAGATTCCTCTGATTTTGGGTTATCCATGGCTCCGCCGCCACAACCCGAACATTGACTGGTCAACTGGGTCCATCCTAGGTTGGAGTTCTTCCTGTCATCAGGTTTGCCTCAAGCAGGCCGCCGCACCTCAACTATCTGTGGATATTAACCTGGTTCCGGATGTCACAGGGGTTCCGGCGGAGTATTTGGACTTTAAGGAGGTTTTTAGCAAGACTAAGGCAACATCTCTCCCACCTCATCGGCCTTATGACTGTGCTATTGAGCTACATCCTGGCGCAGTCCCACCCAAGGGGCGGTTGTACTCGCTTTCGGCACCGGAGAGGAGATCCATGGAGACGTACGTCAATGACTCTCTGGCTGCGGGAATTATTCGTCCTTCCACGTCACCCGCAGGAGCAGGGTTTTTTTTTTGTGGCGAAGAAGGATAAGACCCTGAGACCCTGCATTGACTATCGGGGTCTGAATGACGTCACGGTAAATAATCGTTATCCCCTGCCACTCATCTCGTCAGCATTCAAGTTACTACAGGGAGCAACAATCTTTACCAAGCTGGATTTACGAAACGCATATCACCTGGTACGAATCCGTGAGGGGGATGAATGGAAGACCGCCTTCAACACCTCTTCGGGACACTACGAGTACCTGGTGATGCCTTTTGGACTTACCAACGCCCCTGCAGTTTTCCAAGCGTTGGTGAACGACGTACTCCGGGACATGTTGGATCGTTATGTTTTTGTTTATCTGGACGACATTTTGATTTTTTCAAAGACCCTCAAGGAACACATCCACCATGTCCAGACAGTCCTCCAGAGACTTCTGGAGAACTCGCTGTTTGTCAAGACGGAGAAGTGCGAGTTTCACACTTCTTCGGTCGCCTTTCTTGGCTACATCGTGGGTCAAGGAAGTGTGGAGATGGATCCCTCCAAAGTTTCAGCGGTTACCTCGTGGCGGGTTCCTGATTCCCGGAAGGAGCTGCAGCGTTTCCTAGGATTCGCTAACTTTTACAGACGGTTAATCCATGGCTACAGTACCGTGGCCGCCCCGCTCACCGCCCTGACCTCGTCCAAGGTAACGTTCAGATGGTCCCATGCAGCAGAGGAGGCTTTTCAGGACCTCAAGCGCCGGTTTACGTCGGCTCCTATCCTACAGGTACCAGACCCTGATGGTCAGTTGGTGGTGGAGGTGGATGCTTCTGACGTAGGGGTGGGGGCCATCCTGTCGCAACGTTCTGGTGAGAATCAGAAGCTCCACCCCTGTGCTTTCTTTTCGAGGAGATTGAGTCCGGCGGAGAGAAACTACGACGTGGGGAACCGGGAGCTTCTAGCAGTCAAGTTGGCGTTGGAGGAGTGGCGACACTGGCTTGAGGGGACAGAACTACCATTTCAGGTTTGGACCGACCATAAGAACCTGGAATATATCAGGTCGGCACAAAGACTGAATTCCCGGCAAGCCAGGTGGTCGTTATTTTTCACCCGGTTTAATTTTTTCCTCTCCTACCGCCCGGGCTCCCGCAACGTGAAGGCCGACGCTCTGTCCCGGCAGTTCGGGAGGGAGGGAGACACCTGCGGTATCCCGGACACTATTCTTCCTGCTCCTCGAGTGATCGGCGTCCTCGCTTGGGAGATTGAGGAGAGGGTTAAGACCGCTTTGGTGGACCAACCCGGTCCTAGTTCTTGTCCTCTTAACCGTTTGTTTGTGCCTCAGGTTTTGAAGGCTGAGGTGCTTCAGTGGGCTCACAGCTCCAGACTTTCCTGCCACCCTGGGATTCAACGTACCAGAGGGATGGTCCTGCAGCGGTTCTGGTGGGCTACGCTGGAGGCTGACACCCGGGAGTTTGTGAACGCCTGTCCTGTGTGCAATCGGCACAAACCCTCTCACCAAGCGCCAGCTGGCTTCCTTCATCCATTACCGGTCCCACGTCGCCCATGGTCACATATTTCGTTGGACTTTGTGACTGGTCTTCCACCGTCCCACGGACATACAGCCATCTTGACGGTGGTGGATCGGTTCAGCAAGATGGCCCACTTCATACCCCTGCCTAAGATCCCGTCAGCCAAGGAGACGGCGGAACTTATGCTTCTCCACGTTTTCCGCCTTCACGGACTGGCGACTGATGTGGTTTCCGACCGGGGGCCCCAGTTCACCTCTGTGTTTTGGAGGGAGTTTTGTGAACTGATCGGGGCGACGGTCAGTCTCACCTCCGGTTTCCATCCACAGGCCAATGGTCAGACTGAACGGAAGAATCAGGAGATGGAGACCACTCTCCGCTGCATGGCTTCCGATCATCCCACGACCTGGTCTAAACAACTCCTGTGGGTGGAGTATGCCCACAACACCCTCATCAGTTCCGCTACTGGTCTTTCCCCTTTTCAGTGTGCATACGGTTTTCAACCCCCTTTGTTCTCTGCATTGGAGAAAGAGGTTACCTGTCCGTCTGTCCAGGCCTTCATCAGACGTTGTCGGAGGACTTGGAGGCGGGCTCGAACAACTCTGCTTCAGTCTGCTAACCGGTACGCCACATCAGCGAACCGCCGACGCACCAAGGCACCTGTGTACCAGCTAGGCCAGAGGGTGTGGCTTTCCACTCAGAACATTCCCCTTCGGGTGGAGTCTAAAAAGTTAGCGCCCAGGTTTATTGGACCCTTTGAGATTGTCAAGGTCATTAACCCTGCAGCAGTTCGACTGAGTTTGCCCCGGAACATGAAGATCCATCCCACCTTCCACGTTTCTAGGATTAAACCTGTCCGGGAGAGTCCTATGATTCCCGCCGCTCCCCCACCACCACCCCCTAGGATGATCGATGGGGGTCCTACCTACACCCTTCGTCGTATACTTCGTTCCCGACGCAGAGGAAGAGGGGTTCAGTATTTGGTGGACTGGGAGGGCTATGGTCCTGAGGAGAGGCAGTGGATTCCTGCTCGTCACATCCTCAACCCTCAATTCATCCGAGACTTCCACCTGCGCTACCCGGAGCAGCCTTCTAGGACCCACGCTCAGCCAGGCGTTAGGCCGGGGGGTACTCGTTGGCTACGGACCGGGGGCTTCGTCGAGGAGGAGGGGGAGGTGTCTTCGGTCGAGGAGGACGAGGATTTCCAGGAGGGGGAGGCCGAGAGAGCATTCTCAGATGAGTATTAACCTTTCCCATATCCCCACCTTCCACCCGGTGTCTGTAGGTTTTTTGTTGATTTTTTTTTTTTTTTCCCGTAGGTTTGTCTTGGACGTCGGGAGCCGTCCATTAAGGGGGGGGTTCTGTCACAGTCTGCTTTCTCACTCACCTAGTTTCTGCATTAACATTCCTTAGTCACCTGGTAGCCACACCCTGTCTCTCTCTCACTCTGTTACACCCATCAGCTCCAGTAGTATATAGGCCCACTTCACTCTCACCTCAGTGCCAGATCGTACTTTGCAGCATGCCAGTCTTTCCAGCATTACTTCCCAGATTGCTCTCCCGGTTCCGACCCTGCCTGTCCCTGACCTGCCTGCCTCGCCTGATTCCTGACCCTGCCTGTACCTGCGACTCCCGTCTTGCCTTCTCCTGGAACCCTCGCCTGTCCCCGACCAGCCCTTTGCCTACTACCTGCCTTTTCGTCTCCTACCAGTTATTGCCTTCAATAAAGCTGGTTACTGACTATCCCTGGTTTCCCCGTGTTCTGCATTTTGGTCCTCAGCTCGTTTGTGACAGACAGTAGGGGTGCTCCACCAGGACCACCGTGCCATCCTTTCAATAATTCCCTAAAAGGATCAACTAAAATCCAGATTGCTGTTTTCAACTGATAAATGTGATAAATGCTGGCCTTGGTCACCAGGGCCATGCGTGCCTTTGTTTAGAGGATAAAAGAATGAAACTGACACTAAGCCAGCAGGCGATGTAGCTGACCTCCCTCTCTGCACTAATGAAGCCACTGCCTCAGCGGATCAGTAACACTGGCTTTTTCCCTACAGAGGAACAATTTTGTTGTTGTTCATTTTTAATTGTTGAGCAATTTTCACAGAACAGCATGTAGTTGGGGCAGTAATTATCCTAAGACTCTTCTCATTTTTCTATTTTAAGTCTTTATTGCTTGTTCTGTTCTGTTCTAGAGATGTATTATATTAAGTAACTCTGCGTTGGCTGGTAATTGTGTTTATTTTGGCGTGTCTGTTTGTATTCAGCATATGTAACTTGCAATGCTCTGTGGGGTTTAAATACCAACGCTTCCAAGGAGCTGTGATACTTTCTTATCATAATTCCCTTTATGTTAATATATCCAAAGAGACGTTGCATAGCGATCATTCTCCAAATTTAGTAACTTAACATTCAAAGGGTGTCATAAATAAACTAACACAAGTGTTGATGGACTTTTTCTGTGGGTGAGTTTTAAAATAAATAGCACACAATAATTATAGTCCATATGTTGATTTGACAATGTTTTACGTAATACATCACATTTTCTAATACAAAACTGTAATTCTTTAAGGTCACATTAAAGTAAGATGTTGCTTTGACATTTGACGTAATTCAATTACATTGCTAGGGGGAAATCAAATCTAAGCTGATCTTTATTAATATCAAATGTGTAGGGGAATAAAACAGCAGCAGCATTGCTTACTTGGGCCCCTCCCTCTGCTTCCTCTGTCTGGCCTGCAGCGGGCTTGTAGCTTCCCATTCCTCTGTACACGTTTATTCTCTGGGCAATGAGCCCTGTTGGAGGATGAACACCTGGGTACAGAACAAAACATGTTGTCAATATAGAGTGAGATTTAAGGTCCAGGTTTCATGCATAAACAGCACATATTTCCTATACTGTAATGTAGTGGTTATGAGCACTAAGTCTAGCTGTGTTAGCATTGCATCCTTGTCTTACTAAATCTTTGTCTTGACCATTTTCAACTGTTTTTTTAGCAAATGGTGCAGTTACTGGTCCCAGCCAAAAAATGGTTAAACTTTCCGAGGTCTAAATGTATTGTATTTGATTGTGCAGATCAACAAATGATATGCTCATTAGTGAGATTTAGGGGATAATGGTATAGGCTGTTACCTTTGGACAGGGCCAGCTATTCTCACTAGAAAAGCACACTAAAATATTTAAGTTTATCAGCAATATCTTTGAATGTGGTAATTGTTCATGTTTACCATTTGCATGACCTCTTCTGTTTCAATGTATTGCATATTATCTGCAAGAGTAGTCCAAACTGCAATAACATTTGCACTCAAAAACAAGCTAGATTATAATTTAGCTATGATGTTTACTCCATCATGACAGCAGAACAAATATCTGACTTATCCAACAGGGTGAGAAAAACGTTTGTCTGCTCATGTTCTACTTCTCCGTAAGCAAAAGATGACATGAAAAAGATAGGAGGGCAATTGAGCCTGTATTTTGTAGCCTTGACATATTCCAAATCACATCACAAAGATAGCTGTACCACTAAGTATTAGAAAAGTGTGTATGCACGCTGGCAGCTTCACAGTGCCCACAAATATAAGCAAACACTCCACAGAGGAGTTTCAATCATACACACCCATTATATATGACTTTCAAGGAAAAACATGTCAAAACTATTTCACAGAAACCACTCCAACGTGTAGGGTAGGGAAGCAGATACAAATGTAATGCAGGCCCTACACATTGTATTGGTATTACAGCCCCCACACACACACAAACCGATGTGCAGTAATGCATATGAAGTAAGACACAGTGGAAGTGTGTTACAAAATGATAAAAACCCACCCGCTTTGTCCCCATGAGCATCCTCAAAGCCACAGAGCTGCTCCACCTCCAGGTGGCTGGGGGGGATCTTGCGGTGAACGAAGCTGTGAGGGTACTTCTCCTCGGGACTATCCAGCTCCTGCCCGTCCTCGTACACGTGCTTCAGCACTCGACCGCTGTAGGACGACGCCAGCTTGAACCTCACCTGTGGTTTTGGGTTGAAGGTGACATGTTTTACTTCCTTCCCCAAGCTGGTTTGTCATGAAAATATGCTAAGTGCTTAATTTACATATCTTGCTAGCATAAAAAAGATGAGTAGAACAAAAATAACTGCTGTTTGAGGAGACAACAGGGGTGCATATAGACATTTGCAGCATCCTAACATACAAAATAACATCCTGCTCCTTTCCCCTTTTCAGCTTGCAGTTTGACAACACAAGATGCCGTTTAAAGCTGAATCTTCAAGGACTGTAGCTTTAGTTTGTTGTGTGCTGTAATTTAAAGCAATACTCCACTGATATTAAAACAACTGCAAATCAAAACAGGAAGGTATGACCTCAATGTGTCTTTTTCTCAACATATCACCAAATACTTAAGTATTCCTTTTAATTAGAGCAAGTAGTTCTGTAAATAACTCACTAACCTTTCTGGGCTTGGTGCCTTCATAGTGCTGATCCAGTTTTCTCTGGAGTTCCTCCATGGTGGCTGTTTGAGGAGGGGATGCTGTGAGACCGTCAGTCCATCCAAAAAGCGCCTCACCTGGGGCTAACTCACATCAGCTGGTGGTTCTTGATGCGGAGAATGAATGTACTGATAAATGGATGAAAGAATGGAGTGATATACAAGAGCGTAGAGCTGCGATAGAGGAGTGGGTGGATGCCTGGATAAGAAAGCTTGTGTGTCCTGCTTCCTGAGTTTGAGTGTACCTGCTGTTTTAAGGGACCACCTTTTTAGCTCCCTGTGCTAAATAATTCAAAGCTAGATCGTGTGTGCAAAAGGGTGGTTGAGAAACCAGAAGCTCTGTCATCAAATAGTTATGATCACCAGAATAGAATTTAGTTAAAGCCAATGTGGAGCAATGTGTGTGTGTGTTTGTGTGTGTAAGAAAAAGAAAGAGAGAGTGAGGCTGTGTGTGTGGGAGATGTTAGATGGTTGTAGGAGCGTCTGTCATTGGACTGGAGCCGAGTATATCAGTGTTGAAGAGTAAATATGACATTTAATGTCTGCCTATGTCAAACTGAAACCTTTGTCAAATATATCCATGGTAACAAAGCTTAGAGTTATATTACAAAGACATAACATATTGCTTTTAGTACTTTGTGTTGTTTAAAACACATGTGTTACTGTAATACAGACAGACAAAACACTAAGGTGAACCATATCCAAAGTTATCTGTTGTGAATATACCCCTGTTACCATGCTCTCAAAAACATTTAAATTCCCTATGACTGATATTTGTAACCTTTCTTTTTACAACCGAAGAACATAGTTTAAATTATAAGAAATAAGAATAACTCTATGATTAGTTAAAGTGGATAGAAAAGCTTATCTAAAAAATATAATGTCATTTAATGCCAATGGTCGGAAATCCTTAGTAGTATACAATTAAACTTGTTCCCTCTCTCAAGCCTAAATTGTAATTACTTGAATTGGTGAGTCATACAATTAGTATTTAAACTTAGGCACCATGTGCTAAGTGTTTCAATTATTTGCTAAATTACATATACTTATTTTGCATTCAACTTGAAATGACCCACTACTTAGTGTAACTAATAGGAAGGGTTACTATGCATTACATACAGTGACAACTACAGTTATATCAGATGAGCTCCACATTTTTTTCTGTAGCTTCTAAGCATTTTTGAAAATGCATGTTTAATTTGAAATGTTTGAAACAAAAACCTGAGCTGGGACAGAGCATTTCTGTCAACTCTAATCAGATTGTCATTAAATGAAGCCATAGAAAAGAGACATTCCACTGCCCTTTTATTACAGCAGACATATTTGACTTATCTTAGTCAGAAAAGCACAATGGCTCTTTTCTATTCAACCTTTCCAGTAAGTCAAGATAGTGTGTCAGAGAGCCAGCATGCACACTGCCAGCATCCTGAGACTGAAACAGCTGAATGTAATTCATCCATTATTAAATGTGTCTTCTTCAAGTTCTTCCCTCGTCTTTTTTATGTGACAAAAACCTAATAAAGTGGGTAGCATCCAACTCTGGTTTGGTTATGGAATCCTTAGTGAGCTTTGTGAATGAACAACTGTGAATCACATGTTGTGTATTACAGTCACATGACCCACGTAGTGTTATATTTACTTTTGAAAATGACCCCTGACCACTAAACTTATGTTGAACACATTTTTGAATCAGGAGTAATTCACTGTTCAAATGTCTAACCTTAAAATACCGTTTTTACTGAGCAGCTCCCTGGAATTGCGTGTGATGATGTATGAAGCAAGAAAACATTTTTTTTCAAAATGGCCCTCAACCACATGCAATAAAGCGGATGAGATTGTTTATCAATATTCTAAATAATAAATGAGAACTAATCATAAGCTTTTAGATGTTTACCATTTAAGTCATCATAAGAGGTATAGCTCACATCTCTAATGTTGCATACTTTCAATTTTATGAATACTTATATACAGCATTTGAATTATTTTGAAACTGCTGTTGGCATCGGTGACTTTTTTCTGCATCTTTAAGGGGCCATTTTAAAAGAACAAACACTAAATCTAGCAAATGGATGCCATTAACACCGTGCATGTCGAGATCAATCTTACAATTATCCTTACAGATGAGTGTTATTAAGCTTGAACGGATGGTTTAAAAAGAGAGGGGGGAGAGAGAGAGTATACACAGACCCTCTTGTCTCTTCCCCGACCGAGAGTTAGCTTAATCAGATTGCAGAACAAGCAAGTGTGGTCCCTCGAGCGAGAAATTGTTTTGGGTGCATCGCAGTAAAGGAATCATTTAATGTGCCAGGATTCTCGCTGCTTTCAGTTTAAATGATTGCCACGGTAAATCCCCCACCCCGAGTCTCCACATTAACAGTTCATGTACATTCTATCATCCCCATTAACCTCCGTAAATACAATATGCACTATGAGCTTCATTGCTCAGGTACAGTACACGTTCTCTGCTAGCTATAGATCCTGATCTAATCTATGCTCAGTGCTCTGATGGTAAAGATCCAAACTGTGAAATAATAGTTTGGGTTTTTCGGCGTGCTCGTAGATAATGCATTTGGACCTGAGTGCATATAAGACAAGCCTCATTGAGCTGCAGATGTAATCTAGAACATAAGTCTATGCCCCAGGTGGCCTGTTTGCGTTTACTGTTTTGAACGAGTAAATTTGAATCTAAACTCTTAAAGCTTTTTCCATGTACCAGGTATGAGCACGATAACGCTGGTCCACTCTTGAGGGTTTGAATATATTTGTGGGTGTGCTCCCATTTGTTTATGCCCCAAACCTTTAGCAGCTACTTTACTACTTACTGGGCATCAGTAGATGTTAATGTTCGTACAAGTTTAGTTTTTTTGTGTGCTGATTATTTGCCCCTATGTGCACCCTAAGGAAGTCTCAATGTGGGGGCAGCATATCTTGCCACCAATGTCTGCAAGGTACTTTCTGTCGTGCACCCCCTCACTATCTATATCTCTAAATTCTCTCTGTGAAGGTTTGCCCTCTATAAGTTTAAAAAGATAGAAAGGTGAAACTGTCACATTTTTAAAGATCCCCATTCATTATTTTGTCTGCACTATTTCTGAAACCCTCCATGGGGAATAGTATTGATTGACTCTCAAATCAGCCTAGCCTAAGTCAGAAACTCTGCCTCAAATTCCCAAAGTGGTCATTATTTTGAAGGTTCATGGGAGCCAGATTTTTTTGGAAAGGTGGAAATATTCAAAATGTACGAAGTGTTTTTATCTGTGAACTATCCCCTGAGGTCAGCAGACTTGTGTTGCCATTTTAAAACAGCAATCACGACTATTCTACATCCTCTCCCTCTCCCGCCTCCCATTTCTGCAGCAAATCCAGATTGTAATTTTTGACTCTGCCCTCAGGTGGCTGACAGGCAGCAGCAGGAAAAAAGAAATATGAGATGGAGAGGAGGGGGATGGGGACAGAGATGAAACAAGGGAAAAAGTTAAATGAGAGATGGATGGGAGTAGTGAACCAAGGAGAGACACGAGAGGATTGATGAAGCTACAGATGAATGTGAAAGATCATATTTGTCTTAAATCACCAAAAGACACATATGCAACATCCTCTCTAAAGGTTACAGCAATACAGAGAAACGATCGGCAGCTCAGACAATATGTAAGGGCTGAAGTTCGTCTAATTCACAAGCATCTTTCTCACTAAAGTTGTATTACTTCTGTTACAGCTTCGACTTAATGGATTAGGACTATCCATATGTTGCTTGTACAGACATGTTTATAAGCTGTTCAAAGATGATGATATAAGATGCTATATGAGAGATAAACTATGAGATAGCTGAACTAAACTCAATACGTCCTGCAGAATTGTTGATTTTGTATTTTTTTTCTGTCAGGGGACATGAAACTTCAAATAGTTTAGAACCCTTCTAGAACAAATGACACAAAATTCACAATAAGAGTTGATAACAACACAAATCTATCATGTTTGTTTTTTATGTATTGTGTCTTGACATTTGTCTATGTTGATGTTACACATGGAAATGCTGTGATGCAAGTCACATTTCAGACTTGATCTGACCAATAAAGTATTATCTCATCGTATGTCTAGCTTTTTGAAACTACCCAAAAACTCAAATATGCTTTGTCCATGCTTTTTTATTAACCATAAAAATGTGTCTAATAGAAGACAATTTTAGAGTGAATTGACTTGAGAAGGTTATATCACTTGCGAGGACTGGATCAGCTGAAATTGCACCTCATCATAAAATGCATTTATAAGCTTTCTTAATTGAAAAAAGGTACAATCTGAACCAGCATAAGTTTTCAAGTTGACAAAGACACTAACATGATGACAAAGCTGAAATAAGACTGTCATTTAAAAATATCTGTTATATAATATCTGCAATGTTTTAAATAGAACTACTAAAGCATTTAAACGTCATTATCTTAATTAGAGTGTCTATCAAATGATAGATGTTACAAGTCATGGTCAAGTTAATATTTAATATTTCACTGGGACTGATTTGCTATCTCGTTTTAATTAGCTCTATGGTGCTGGTGGCTGTGATGGTGTTCAGCTCTCATTAAACCCTAGCAGCAACTTGCGGCATCACAGGCCTGTGACCCCCCCCCCCCCACACTAATTTCATCCCAAGATAAAAAAAAGTCCCTCTCTCAAAAAATGATGCGTGAACATCTCCACCAACTGCAATACCAGTCGAAATGAGAACAGCAGCAGCAACAGAAATCGGGGCAAGGAACCGGCAGGAATCAGCACATACTCCTAAATGCTTTGTTAAGGTGTGATTTTTTTGAAGAGGCCTGTTTGGAAATGTGTTGAGTTAAAGTGTTTTTGTTTCCTTCAAATGCTAACTCTTGGTCATGCAACTAGAATTTTCCAAAGGGGGGTTCGTTTAGCATGAAACACTTGAAATAACTAAAGGATAAGTAAAACAAATAAAGTAGAAAGAAAGTGAGGTCATAGAAAACTATTTCTGCTAAAAAGTTAGCAATGATTGAGAGTCAGAGCTAAACATTTCAGATG